AAATGAATGCATGTCTTGGAAACATGAAACCTACCAAAATGAATCATCAAGAAAGAAAAAATCTGAATTGACTAATAATGAGTAAGTAATCTAAAACCTCCCAACAAAAAAGCTTAGGACCAGATGGATTTTCTGGTGGATTTTACCAATATTTAAAGAAGAATTAATGTCAGGGGCACCTTGGTGGCTCAGTCCGTTAAGTGTCTGACTCTTGATTGGGGCTCAGGTAATGATCTCATGATTTGATTTGTGAGATCAAGCCCCAGAGCCCCATGCTGGGCTCTGGGCTGATAGCTGTCTCTCCCTCTCCCTGTCTCTTCCCTGAGCATGTGCTGGCAATCAACATCACTAATCATCAGGGAAATGCAAATCAAAACCACAATGAAAATCATTCCACACCTGTTAGGGTGGCTATTATAAAATTTTAAAAGTTTTAAGTACTGACAAGGATGTAGAGAAAAAGGTACCATTATATTCTGTTGGTGGAAATGTAAACTGGCCACTATGGAAAACAATATGGCAGTTCCTCAAAAAATTAAAAGTAAAACTACCATGGGGCGCCTGGGTGGCTTAGTCGGTTAAGCGTCCGACTTTCGCTTAGGTCATGATCTCGCGGTTCGTGGGTTCGAGCCCCGTGTCGGGCTCTGTGCTGACTGCCAGCTCAGAGCCTGGGGCCTATTTCAGAGTCTGTATCTCCCTCTCTCTCTGACCCTCCCCTGCTCACGCTGTCTCTCTCTCTCTCTCCTAGAAATAAATAAAAAAAATTAAAAAACAAAAAAACAAAAAAACAAAACTACCATATAATCCAGCAGTTCCACTTCTGGGTTATATCTGAGTGAAATGATATCTCTGTCTTGAAGAGATATTTGCACCCTGTGTTTGTTGCAGCATTATTTACATAGCTAAGACATGGAAACAACTTAAATGTCCATTGTTGGATAAATAGATTAAAAATGTTGTGTGTGTGTGTGTGTGTGTGTGTATTTCTCAGCCATAAAAAAAGAAGGAAATCCTGCCGTTTACCACAACATGGATGAATCTTGAGGTCAGTATGCTTAGTGAAATAAGTCAGAGAAAGACAGATACTGCATGGTCTTACTTCTATGTGGAATCTAAATTCATAGAAACAAAAAATAGATTGGTGGTTGCCAGAAGCAAAGGCTGGGAAATGGAGGAAATAGATGAAAATATTCAAAATTACAAACTTTCAGGTATAAGTTAAGTTTTGGGGATATAGAATATAGTAATGTACAAAGTGACTATAGTTAACAATACTGTATTGAATATTTGAAAGCTGCTAAGAGAGTATATCTTAAACATCTTATCACAAGAGAAAATGTAACTATGCAGGGTAATGGATGTTAACTAAACCTATAGTGGCAATCATTTTGCAGTATATACATATCTCAAACACTTATGGAATACATCTTAAACTCATACAGTGTTATATGTCAATTATATCCCAATAAACTGAAAAAACTGAATATTGCTTTTGTAAATTCTTTGTCAATTATGTTTCATTGTGATGCACAGCTATGATCATGTTTTGGATAAAATGTGTTATATTTTTATTTCATGACTAAATGCTGTTTATGTGTCACTCAGTCAACATATTTATAGATTATGTTACATAGTTCTATTTGCTTATCACTTGAAAATATTATCACTTGTAATAACTAAAGAAATATGTCAGCCTATTTATGATCTAGTACCCTACCACTGTTTTAGAGCTTACACTTAGAAATGGAGACAGGACATGTACATAGCTCTGACTTCTGTTTTTTGAGATGGCCAATTTGATGCAGTTGTTGCAGACTCATCAAAATGGTCATGATCATAACAAAATATAAACTCAGTTGTGTTGTTTACACCTCATTCCTTCCCCCCAAATAATCCCCAAATCCCAGAGACTTAACATATTAAAGTTTCTTCTCACTCATCTTATAGTCTAGTGGATAGTGATGTGTTTGCTGGGAGAATTGTTTCAGTTCCATCAATCATTCAGAAACCCCAGGTTACTTCTACCTTGTACCTCCACTGTTTTCTAGGGCTTCAAGTACTCTGGTAGATCCTCTACATCTGACCAAGTGAAGAGCAAAAAGGTCTGGGAAGAATGTTAAGAAGTTTTAGAGGCTGGGCTAGAGGTAATGTTAGAAAATACAGCTTCTCAAACTGTAGCAAAGGGCCACTTTTTAAAAACCTTCCAATCTGTTGCAGACTATTACTTTTGTAGAAAACAACAAAAATGTTGTGAGAATGTCCAATTTCTATAAAAGTTTCATTTTCATTTGCTATTCTTACCTTGTTATGGACCAAAAACAAACAAATCATGGAAAAATACTGGTCTCTGAACCACGCTTTATAGCATTGATGTAAATTGCTTATTACATTCTGTTGTCCTGAGCTAGTTACCTGCTGCCACTTGAATGTAAAAGGGATAGGAAATGTTCAAAGGAGGAAATTAAGTGATTATTGCTGTCTTAATTTACCCTTCTGGTCCCAAATATCCATTTTTCTTTTCCTCCCATATACTAACCTATTTCCAAAGGTGATAACCCAAAGTCCCATCAAACTATTACGTCTAGTTTAAAGTCCCAGATGGTGCACAGATTTCTTCATCAGATCTGGATGCGACTTTTCTCAGTTTGGTGATCTATAAGCTAAAAAGACACATCATCCACTCCTCCCACCAGACTTTCACTCAATATACAATGGTAGAAGTGATGGAGGATAACTGTGAAAGACACTCTTGTTAGGAAAGGAGAAAAATGCAAGACAAGGCAGTTACAGCGTTATAGCAATTCTGAAATCCTGCTGACAAGACATTTTTGAAGGCCCTTTATACCAGGGATGAAGAAGTTTCCTTGGTTAGGGGTTAATCTCTAATTCTTCTGGTAAGATATTCTCTGTAACAGGGTTTTCCAGAAAAACAATCAATAGGTGTTAAATATAGAGGCAGATACATATCTTTATGTCTATGTATCTGTATCTATATATCTATCTAGTTGGAGAACAAAAAAGACAGTGGTGTATTCAGTACAAATCTGAAGGCTGAGAATAAGGGGAGCTGATGGTATAAGTCCTGGTCTGAGTCTAAAGGCCTAAGAACCAAGAGTGCTGATATCTGAGGGCAGGAGGAGATGAGCATCCTAGCCCAAGCAGAGAGAGTAAACTCACTCTCCCTCTGCCTTTTTTGTTCTATTTAGGCCCTCAACAGATTGTATGATGCCCATCCACATTGGTGAAGGCAATCTTCTTTGCTCAGTCTACCGATTCAAATGGTACTCTCTTTTGGAGACACTCTCATAGACACATCCAGAAGTAATGTTTTATCCGCTTTACTGAGCATTGCTTAGCCCAGTCAAGTCAATGTGTAAAGTTAACCAGGGTACTCTCTTTCTTCATTTCCTCTGGTTCTACACTTTGGAAAGATTTCCTTGTTTATAATCTTCCATGGCCATATCTGAATGAAACTGTTCCCCTGGAGACTGTATAGCTTTCATACTTGGAGAGGCTATGTGTCAACCAAAGATGGTTTCACAGCTTTAAATATAAAAATGATTTTACAAAACCACACTGAGATACTACCTCACGCCAGTCAGAGTGTCTAAAATGAGGAAACCAGAGGACTCTAGATGCTGGTGAGGATGTGGAGAAATGGGTACCCTCCTACACTGTTGGCGGGAATGCAAACTGGTGCAGTCTCTCTGGAAAACAATGTGGAGGTTCCTCAAAAAATTAACAACAGAACTCCCCTATGACCCAGCAATAGCTCTGCTAGGAATTTACCCAAGGGATATAGGAGTGCTGATGCATAGGGGCACATGTACCCCAATGTTCATAGCAGCACTCTCAACAATAGCCAAAACATGGAAAGAGCCTAAGTGTCCATTAACAGACGAATGGATCGAGAAGATGTGGTTTATCTATACAATGGAATCCTACATGGCAATGAGAAAGAATGAAATCTGGCCATGTGTAGCACCATGGATGGAACTTGAGGGTGTTATGTTGAGCGAAGGCAGAGAAGGACAAATACCATATGTTTGCACGTATAGGAGGATTAGGAGGAACTTAACGGAGGACCGTGGGGGAGTAGAAGGGGGGAAATAGTGGGGGAGAGGGAAAGAGGCAAACCATGAGAGACTCTTGAATGCTGAGAACAAACTGAGGGCTGATGGGTGTGGGGGGGGAGGGGGGATATGGGCATGGAGGAGGGCACTTGTGGGGATGAGCACTGGGTGTTATATGGAAACCAACTTGACAATAAACTACTTGTAAAAATAAATAAATAAATAAATAAATAAATAAAAATTATTTTAGATTAGGTGCCTGGATACTTTGACAGTAGAGTTTCCTCAAAAGTATAGTAGGCTTCTGATCCATTTGTTTCCAGTCAGTTCAATATTAATAACACCCAAAATTCTTTCTGAGACTATTTTAGGTTCAGTTCCCCAGGAGGAGATCCTGAGAAGAGGATTTGTGAAAATTGACTTATTAAGAACATTGCATATGAGTGAGGAAAGCAAGACAAGCAAGACAAGCAATCCAAGTTTATCACTAAGGATCCAGTTAGGAGATAGATACATACTAGTTGTTTAACAGAGAATTTTAAATAAAGAATTGTTAACAGCAAAAAGATAACACTAAATATTATGGAGGTAGTGACTACAGGAAACAGCTCCCATCTCTACGGCTGAGGGAACAAAGAGGTTTGAATCACTAACACTGTCTTAGTTTGAGGTGCTATAACAAAAATACCATAGACTAGGTGGTTTACACAACAAACACTTCTTTTTTTTTTCTTTAATGTTTATTTTTGAGAGGAGGATGAATGAGGGGGGAGGGGCAAAGAGAGAGGAAGACAGAGGATCTGAAACAGGCTCTGTGCTAATAGCAGAGAGGCCAACGCAGGGCTTGAACCCATGAGCCATGAAATCATGACCTCAGCCAAAGTCAGGCACTTAACCAACTGAGCCTCCCAGGCTCTTCAAATGATAAACATTTGTTTCCCGCAGTTTGGAGGCTGGGAAGTCCAAGATCAAGTTGTGGCAGGTTCAGTGCCTGGTGAGAACCTGCTTCCTGGCTTGTAGACAGAAGAATTCTTGCTGTATCCTGGGGAGAGAGGGGGAGGGGGAAGAGGGAGGGTCAGAGAGAGAAAGAATGAATGAGAGAGAGATCTTTATTACTTCTAAAGGCCCTATCTCCAAACACCATCACACTGGGGATTAGGGGTTCAACATAATGAACTTGGGGTAGGGAGGCCCAGATATGCAGTCCATAGCAAGGACTTAGAAGCTTGGAGGAATGGCCCCATGGAGCTGAAACTCAGACCTCTGAGAAGGTGGTGCTGGTGCTGGAGTCTGTGCTTGGAGGAGAGGTACCACAGAGCTGGGACCCAGACCACTGAGGAGGGGGTGATGTGCTGTGTACTTGAAGTTTGCTAAGAGAATAGATTTTAAGCTTTCTCACCATACACATGTAAAGTAACTGTAACTGTGTGAGGGGATGGATGTGTTAATTAACCTCATTGTGGTAATCATTTCATGATGGATATGTATATCAAATCATTCTGTACACTTTATAATACAATTTTGTCAGTTACACCTCAGTAAAGCTGGGGAACAAATAATAGGTGTTACTTTGAGGCTATCTGAAACAGTAGATACTATCTGAAACAACATGTGTAATCTGATCTTTTCCTAAGGGCTGTCATTTTGTTTAAATCCTACTGAGGTTTCCGTGCTCAAAGCCTTTTAAATCATAGCTCTTTCTCTTCTGAATCTAGAAGTATTGTGTTTTCAAACTCTGCCAGGCCCCAAATGCTGGATTCTATTTCCTTTCATTTGTTTTAAACTGATTGTTTTCCATGCCAATCTCTCTCTAGTAATATCTTCCTAATCACATAAAAAAATCACCAACATCTACAGTTAATATTGTTTTCTGAAAGCTTCCCTTAGAGCTAGAGAATATGTACTTGTACTGATCTGCCTTCTAAGGTATTGTAGACAACAGCCTAGCCAGTGCCTAATATGAATCTTTGGTTATCCAGCCTACTACATGGTTCCTTAATTCCCACATGACTGCTATGCTAAACTAATGTCACATATTTTGGATTTTTTGTTATAGTAGGCCATTATTTCTATTATTAATCGAGGTTAGTGATTTAGTAATAAACAACCCTCAAATCTCAGTCATAACCCAGCTAAAGTTTATGTTTTGCTCTAATCAGTACAGTCAAGATCATGTGCTTCATGAAATTTTTAAGAGAACTGGGGTCCTTCCATCTACTGTTACTGCCATCCCTTAGCTCCTTAGAATTTTCTGTATCTGTCTGACCGATTTGTGAAAAACAAAAAGAAACTACAACTCACTGGAGGCTTTAAGGGTCAGGCTTAGACTGGCCAATCATTGCTTCTGCCTACATTGCACTGGTCAGAAATAGTTACATGGCCTGATATAAAAAGAGCTAAGAAATGTGGGTTTCCTGGGCATCCAAGATGGTGAATATTTGTCTCCATCGCAATTAGGATACTTTCACTTGCAAGTAACAGCAAGTCCACTTAAACTGGCTTTGTCAGGGAGCAAGCTGTTTTTATTCTCTTAGATTTATTTTTTTGAGGACTTGTGAATAAAAGTGACAGAAGGACAGGTTAGCCAAGAGAAAAGACAGATTTTAATCACATACCTTGTGGGGGAGTTTACAAAGAAATGTGACTCAAAGGAGTGATTAGAATATGGGGCTTATATACCATTTAAATAGGTGAAGGGGAAAGGAGAGGGCACTTACATGAAAACAGTTGACCTCTTGGAAAGGAGTTGGGGGAGAAAGTGCACTTATGAGAAAATAAATGACATTTAGGAAAGATTAGGGCCCTTAGGAGAATAGATAGGAGATATGATAGTTTTGTGATAATGACTGTTTAGGTGTGGTGACAATTCTCATTGTCTCTGGTGATAAGAGCTAATCTTCCCTGGTTGCTCCCTGGGAGAAGATTTATGACAATTGAGATCTTTGGGAGGCTCCACTTCTAGGCAGATAAGAGACTTCAGGAACTCAAATGCCTTCAGCTAAAAATACTTTTTATGTCAGAGAGTCTTATTCTGGATCCCTTCTACTTAAACAGAAAAGGGAATTTATTGACTCATATAGTAGAGAAGTCTAAAGGTAGCAGGGGATTCAGGTTGGGTTTGATTTGGAGGCTTTGTGATGCTCTCAGGGATTGACTTCCTTTCCCTATGACTGAGTCACCTAGCCCTTCCTCTTCCACTTGTTAGCTTTATTCTCAGTTGGCTCTTCTTAGTAGAAAAAAAGAACAAAAGAGTTATAACTCTACTAGTATTCATATTCTAATGCCAATGCTGTATCTTTCAGAGAAAGAAAGGACTTCTCTTTTGCCCACAAACAAAAATCCTGGGCTTTGCCCACAAACCAAAAAATCCTAATTGGTTTATGAAACAAAAACTGGTTCAAAGGGAGGTAAGGGTGGTAATTCTAATAGTTTTATGCTGGCTGAACCATTCTTGGAATTGGATAGTGGTTATTCCATCCAAATTATATAGGTGGATACGATGGAGTGGTGGAATGGAAGCTAGGCAATCACCTAAATCCACTATAGTCAGGGAGGAGCGTGGAGCATGATCTCACTTGACAATGAGCATGCTGAGGATACTTAAAGAGTATGATTATAATGCGAAGGTGCAGAAAATATAACAAGTCAGAGAAAGAGAAGCACTTAAAAAATGATAGGAAAGTGTGGACAGTAAGTTAAGAGAACCAAGAGAGTCATGTTCTAAAGCCAAGGGAGGAGTTTTAAGGATGGAGTAGTAAAAAAAATCATTGAAATTACTTCATGCGGGTTGATTCCGTACTCATTGGAAATCCTTCCTAGTTTAGCTTCTCATGTAAATGTTTCCTTTGAGTGAAAATGTGCCAGCCAGGTTTTTCAGTCTTCAGAGCAGTTGTGCTTTTCATGAAAGGAAAGAAAGAGGGATAAATTGGTTTGTATATCAGTCTCTATTAAGTTTGGTTGGCATGAATCATCCCCTGGATATAAATGAGCTCTAGGGTCTAACAACATTAAGTTTCTGTGTCTTTAAACTGAGGACCAAACTACAGAACACAGAGTGAAAATTTTCATTTTCATACCATAATGCTTTGCGAATCACTAGCATTATATTTGAAATATAATGATTTAAGAATAATACATGAAGATTTTTTGACATTTAACTTCCCAGTTTGTTATTTTAATTATTCTCTTTTCCTACAAAGTTTACTTTCAGGGGTAGCAAGAAAAGAGAAAGCTGGATAGACTATCCCTGACACTGATGGGTAAAGAGTACGTCATGGTTACCTGTAGCCATTCCAGGTCTCTAGGGTTAATTCAGGTGGCCTTTGGGTAAGATTAATGTGGTAACCAATAATGAAGTGACCGGCATGCTAAATGCCAAAGAAAAGCTGGGGGCAGTCTGGATGAGAAAGAAGAAACTAATTCAAATAGTCCAGGAGAATTAGTACAATTCAGTGATGGGTTTGTGCAGTGGTGTGTGTGTGTGTGTGTTAAGGATCTAACGAAGATAGATTGATCTTGTGAAGACAACTGGGAGAGGAAACTTTCCTTACAGATCAGAATATAATGTAGCAAGTACTTACGCAGGCAGTATCTTGGTTAAGTGTTCCTGTAAGTGCATTTCTCTTTTTTAAAGTTATTACAGGCAACCGTATGGCAGGGATTAAAGGAGACAAGTAAAATCGTAGCTTTGAAAAATAACATGGCAAAATTAGCCAATTATGAAAAGAACCTGGCTTGACTTCTCATCTGGTTTACATCTTCACGCCTCAGGAACGGTCTTTGTAATGGCGCCTCTCTCCCTAGTCTTACTTTCCAAGCCTGTGGAGAACTAGCTGTTACACACAGGGAGGATCTGGAACTCATGTTCCCAAGACTTCAGACCCGGTGCAGTCCCGATTTCGGGATCGCTGGGCCGACTGCGCCGACAAGCAGGCGGGCTCTCATCACCACGCGAGGCCCCGGCCCCAGCCTTCGCCCGCGGCCAGCGCGTGGTGGTGAGCCGCGGCCTTCGAAGGCCTGCGATGCTACGCACATGCCCGCGCCCGCCTCCCGCGTCTGCGAGAAGAAAGGGAGCCCGGACGCGCGGAGGCTGACCCGGAGCCTACCCATGAGGCAGCGCGCCGGCTCCACGAGAATTTCCCCCCCCCCCTTCCCACGGCTCAGCTGCTGCTCCGCAATGGGAGCCGCCGCCGTCGCCGCCGTGTAGTTTTTCGTGCTCCTCCTTTTCCTCCTCCTCTTTCTCCTCCTCCTCAGGGCCCCAGTCAGGCCGATCCGCTCCGCTCACGGTAAGCGCCCCCCGCCCCCGCCCGCCCCGCGCTGCAGCAGGCAGAGGCCCTCCCGCGCGGCCTGCGCCGCCTCACTCCGGGGGCGCTGGGCCGGGGGTGTCGAGGCCGGCGCGGTTTGCCGAGAGCGCCCAGGGCGCGGGGGAGGGGACCGGCTGCGCGGCGGCGGCCGGACCGCCATCTTGCGCCGGCCCCGGCGGGGGAGGGATCCCGGCGCGACGCGGCAGACGGCTCGGTGCGGCAGGCCGGCGCTGCGCAGGCCTCCGCCGCCTCTTTCTCCGTCGCCTCCTCCGCCTCCTCCGCCTCGCCTCCCAGGGCCTGCGCGCCTGTTTGCCCCAGCCTGGGTCTGGCTCTCCTCTGGAGACGACTCCCTTTGGTCTGCCGTACATTTTGTGCCGATGTTTGGCGGCGACCCGTGCCTTCCTCACAACGACGCTCCCCGGAGCCTCTTCAGTGGTAGAGCCGACCAAAGGGGGTTCCGAACTTCAGGCATCCAGGGCCCTGCCCCCTCTCCCCCCCGCCCCGGTGACCAGTCATTCCACGTTCACACCCTCATCCTTGTCAAAGGGACTTCCCTGCTCTGCCCTAGGAGTCCCGTTATTGTCTGCAGAAGGGCCCTGAGGAGAACCGTGCAGTTGGATACACAACTTACTGACCGAGCTTTCAGGTTTCACTTAATGAGACGGAAAGAATGAGCTCACTCTGAGGTTTTTATCTTGCTCTAGAGATGGAAGGAGTTCTTCCCAACTTATCTCAAGTTTGAAGGTTTTTAAGGAGGAATCTGCCAGAGAGGAGAAACGTCAAAGCGGACCCGCTTCTGCAAGCACGGGAGACCTTGGTCCAAGGGGTTCTCTTTGTTCGCAAAGATTTTTTTTTTTTTAATTCTGTGAATTTACACTTTATTGTTTTGAGATTTGGATTGGATCTTAAGAATTGGACGTCCTTTAGTGACATTAAGCATAAAATTGAAACCTCGGAGGAGAGTTTTAAGTACAAAAACCACCTCTTAGCATTTGTGAGACGTCCTGCTTTGGGGGATTAGTGACAACTCAAGCTAAGCGGAAACTTGCTGTGCCAAGAAAGGCACTGGTTTGCTTAGAGAATGGTTACGGCTGCTTCGCTCTTGATGTTTTGAAACATCAACTGTTACCTTGCATTTTTATCTGTCATTGGGACAGCCTATTTGTGCCGCAAGCCCCCTTTTGCCCTGGTCTGTGTTTATGGAACTATTTTGAAGATTAGGAGAGCCTCAAGGAGACGTCTTTAATGAGGTCATGGCTAGGAAGTGATGGAGCCGTTTCGAGACCCTTAGGTCTTCTGATTCCTCAATCAGTGCTCAATTCATTATATTATGTTTCATTTTTGGTGGGAATAGGTGAGTGAGGAGAAGCAAGGAGGCTCACCTACAAAATTTAAGAAATACTATTCAGTTTCTCCTTACACGTTTTTGTTTTCAGGCCTTCATTTCTTAGTTTTTCAACTTTTTATTAAGTTTTCATGTTGTTTTTTAACCCCAAACATTTTGAAAAGTTGAATAGCCGGTTTGGACACTAATACCTACCTCCTAGTTTAAACAGTGTTGCCATTTTGTCACATTTGCTTTCTCTACCTATCTTAAATTCTTTTCGGCGAACATTTTCAGAGTACATTGCAAATATTAAGATAATTCGCACCTAAGTACTGTAGATGGATGTGTCCATCTGGATGTCATAAGAATAAGGCCAATTTTCCATATAAGCACGATACCAGAAACGCACTTAACGTGATGAATAATCCCTGCAATCTAATGTACATATGTAGTGTGTATTCACATTTCCCCTATTGTCCCCCAAATGTCTTAAGTTATTTATTTCGGAATCCAATGATGCATCATATTTATTTGTATTAGTTTCTTTTTTTTTAATTTAGTTACCTCTTTTTTATTTTTTGATGACATTGACCTTTTGAGACCAGGCTACCAGTAGTCCTGTGAAATAATCCACGTTCTGTATTTTACTGATAGTTTCCTCTTCATTAGATTTAAATTGTACCTTCTATCCCCTGTATTTTCTGTAAATTTGAAGTTAGATCTTAAGGCTTGTGTAGACCAGGGTTGATACTTTTGGCAAGAAAACTTAAGTCATGCAATGTACTTCACATCAGAAGGCACATAAAGTAGGATTATCCTATTAGTAATCCTAAATTTGATTTCTCCAATAAAGTGGTGACAAACTATCTTTCCACTGTAAGCGTTTTTTTGTTTGTTTTATTTTTTTGTTTTTTGCAATTAGCAAGTATTCTATGGGATGATATTTTGGCATTAGTATTTGATATGAATTTACCTGCAGTGATTTGATAATTACATAGTTGGGAGTAGTCCTCTAGAAATGGGTGTTTGGGGGTGAAGGAAAGGAGCAGTTTTGGAGGATAGGACAAACTTACCTAGTTTAGAGAGCTTGGGATTGCTGCTACCTGTTGACCTCAGAGCCTATGTTGGCTAGGGGAGAGGAGGCCTGGAAAGTAGATGTCAGACTTTGCCTCCTTTGAAATTTGCTTATGGTCCTTGTAGCAGTAGTGAGCTGTGATTAATAGGAAAGTTCTGAGGTAGTTAAATATTGGAGAGTTCCAAATCTCAGCATCCCCACTTCAACCCATTGTTTCTGGCTAGGCTCTTTCTTGGAGTCCTGCTTCTTCAAGAGTCCAGTGTTTTACTACTCAGAATTGGCTTTTTCAGTAGGAGAGAGGAAGGCAAAGGAAAAGAATATATAGTTTTGTACTCTGCCACACTTGTTTTATTTATTTAAGAGAACATTTAGAACCATATTGAGTTTTTTTGTTTTGTTTTCTGTACAAATTTGGCAGGGGATATATCTGAATGGAATAGCAATTCTGGTAAATAGTAAATTATAGTTTAGGTGATAGGAAATTGGAGATTATTGACAGCATATTATGTTATATTTCAAAAGAAACTTTTGAAAGGTGAGGTATATTTATGACATGTCCACTAATTAAATACATAATCCTGAATAGATTTTCCTAATTCAGACGACTAAGAAAATCAGATTTTTCAGTCAGGTTATTTTAAATATATAAATAATGACTTGATTTATGTGGCAATTTGTATCAAACATGTGTTTGGAATTTTTATTCATTTCTACAAAGCAGTTTTATTTTAAGGATTCTTTTAACTCTCATTATACCAGGAAAAAGTCATCACTATTCACCATTTCATTTTTAAAAAAATTTCAAGTTATTATATAATTTTCATTATGTAATCTATAGAAGAATAAAGGTAATGTAGAACAACTCATTCGAACTTTTAATTAGAATTTAAACATAGTTTCTTTATATATATTTAGAAATGTGAAAAACAAATATATATTTTATGCATCTAATTACATACCACATACTACAATGAAGATGCACATTTAGAATATTTTGGTATTCACACAAAGAATATCTCACTTTGAGACCTGGCAAGAATGTTGTAGTTGAAGGGTTAAACAAAATTCTCTTACTGGTTTCTGCAAGTTCTTTTCCTAGTTGCCTGAGAAATATTCTTCTTGACATTTCTGGTTTTGTAATTGAAGTTTCCCCATACGCTGAAAGAATTCCCTGCATTATTATCAATCATAGGTCATTCCTTTGCAAATATGAGTTCTGACCCTCTTAATGAGCGTATCTACCTCTCCTGTAGTCAGAAAAATACATCTCTCTTCATGTTATTATATAAGGGTTTTTGAATTCATTTATACTTGAGAATGCATTGAGCTGAGAAGAAAAATTAGTTTTTCTTAGGATAATAAAAGTCATCAAATATGTATAAAGCCCAGAATTATGTGTAGTTGACTTTTTCTTATGTCCCATTTGTGAAAATTCCTAGAAGGTCATCCATGTTCTTCCTGATGTTGCCAAATCAAGAAATTTTTTTGTTGGATAATACTACTAAGCTAGTTTTAAACTTACATAAATTTTGTCACATGTTAATATTTCTGACAAAATTTTAAAATTCTTTGTCCATTCTTGTAATTTTTCTATTACTCTTGGTTCTGCTCTCACCCTTTTCTGATTCTCTGTAGATCTGTATCTTTCAAGCTTAGAATGTTTCACTGTTCGGTGTTGCCCAGATTTTTATTATGTGTTTTTCAGGGTTTGTGTACCTGAAATGGGCAACATTGTGTGAATGTTACTAACTACTCATCAGCTGTCATACATAAATGAACCTGGAATGTATTCATCTTGTAAATACTGATTTGAGATTTCACATACTTCGGATAAGTTCTTGTTTATCATTCTGGGGCTTTTTTTTTTTCTTTTGCATGTGCATAATTGAATGCAATACTTGAAGAATTTTTTGAAACCTTTGATAATTCTTAATTCTGTTGAAGTATGGATGGTCATCTTCTTTCCTTCCTAATTGTAAGATATTTTCAGTTCTGGATTTGTAGATACCAGTTAGCATAACCAATCCAAGGAATTAAAAAATTTTCCACATTTTCTATTTCCGTTTGGTCAGCATTATATACATCTGCATTCAACATTTGTCCATTTATGAACTTTATCAGGTTACTCTCATTTGAAGATTTAGTCTGAGATTTCCCTGTTCTCATCATTAGGGTCTAAAGTGCTTGCTGTCTATCTTTGCATCCATTTTCAGGTTCATTTAATAATTGTAACATGTGTCCTCTGCCAGTTTTCTTCTGTCCCATAATGGGCAGAAAATAAAAAGTTCTGAGTTCTTGACTGTATTCAGTGAAGACTAAAAGCATATGAAGAGGATCAGGGTATGCTGTGCTAACATATGCTACTTTGATCTAAGGGTTATTTTGAGTGGACAGCAGTTTGGAATTAAAAGAAGCAAAAACTGTTTTTTGTCTTCCTGTTATCTGCCTGAAAGCAAGACATAAATATTCCTTTGTGAGGATAGATCTCCCCTGCCCCCCCACCCCTTAGTAGGAAAGAGTGACTCTTAATCGCCTGGAGATGGAGGCAGCTCTCCATACCAAGATGAGATTGCATAAAGA